ACCGTCATGCTGGCCTCGGCAACTCGTAAAATACTCTTTTACCGGGGTCAGTTCTGAAGGAACGACCCTATTCTATCTATCTCCACCCTCTTTTAATCCCTATGTAACTTCATCTGTTTTTTTGCGAGTGATGAAGACTCAATCCGAATTGTATATAACAACATATATGTTCGTACATATACCTATATCTATATGTCTATACTGGGTGTTCATAAAATAAACGAAATAAAAGTAAATAGATAAAAAGAAAAAACTAAAGATATAAGAGAAATCTGAGACACCTTTCATATATATATCAAATATACCCACTGTGTGGAATATATACCTAGAACTTGAATTTTTCACCGATAGGACGAGCTTAATCGAACGGAAATCGTCCAAGGTGTCGCGTCTTCCGAGTGATTTATGATTTTTACGCTCTATAAATAAATTTCGAACATTCGTGAAAAGGTAAGAACATTCGGCAACTACGACTAATATCGATGATAATAATAATGTGATAATAATAATGTGATAATAATAATGATGAAGGAGATAGGTCATCTTCATCTTAGTTGCACAAAAACTGGACCAAAATGTTTTTTCTTTAAATAATATTGAAATTGCTTTTTTTTCACTTTTGATGAAATTAAAATAATGTGTAAAAATCTTTTAATTGCTTTTCCGTAAATTAAATTAGTCTGATATTGTAAGAAAATCTCATTATCGGATCCTTTAATTATTTATTTCCTTAATCAACTGCGAGATCCATCAAAATTTAAGCAAAAATTTAGTATCTCTATTTTTGAAAAGATTACACGTTATCTTGAAACTTCAAAGGAAATTATCTCTTTCTTATTTTTTTATTTGAGTTAAATAATTTCAACGAAATCCTAAAGCACAAAAAGATTTAAAAATAAGAATTCTAAATCACTAATCTTAATATTCCATTAGAAGTCTTCTCGATTCAACACAACTTTAATTTTCCCCTCACAATTATTATCATATTCTTGCAACGTTTTCTTACTTATTATTTTTTCAAAGTCGTAAGTTAATCCAAAAAAAGTAGAGATGATTCACTCTTGTTACGCTAATGACTCGCACAATCTCTTATAAAAAAAAAAAAAGACGAAATAGAATAGAGTAAGTCAGGTTGCCATGTAAAACTCATGCAACCTGCATGTATGGTCTCATCCACTGAAAAGCTGGGTTTTTAATTTCATCCCATTGAAAAGTCCGTAACATGTAACCCTCGGCAGTGCGAAAGGAGATCTCTCTCTCTCTCTCTCTTTCTTTTTCTTTATCTTGGTCTTAATAGTAGTATGTAATGAACACTTGGCTTAAATAAATGTTTGTTATCTTAATGGCAGTTCTCGGGAAAAATAAAACTTCAGTGAAACATCCTTGTATCGCTAAACCAGGCCGATTACGTCTTTGTATAGCTATGACAAAACTCCTACTATTCTTCATGTTGTTTCTCCTTTTGAAACTGAATGTAGTCTCCGTTAAATTGCCTTCGAGGAAATTCACTCCACATATATAGGTATACATAAATATCATATATATATATATATTACGGTCAATGTGGAGAATTCAGGAATGTATATTTTGAACATGTCTTTCTTACATTGCCCAGTCAATCTCTAGAATGTCCAAAGAGTTTTGGTGAATTTAGAATATATGCTTCAATTTGTTTAGAACCCGGGAGGGGAAGGGAAATGTTTTTAAGCTCTTGTAAATGAAACAAACAATAAACACAAGTATATATTTTACCGAAATCTGCTATTGATATTGATAAATTTTTGCGAATATGTAATTTACTGATGATGTTGAAAAGAAAATAAGAAAATAATTTTATTATTGTAATTACAATTGGGCAATACAATGAACAAACTTGCTCTGTAACGACATCTGCAACTTATTACACTATAAGAAGTACTATCGGTTAATTACATTTATCGAGAGGTCAAGCATGTACTCGTTAACTAAGGCTAAAGTTCAAGCACAGAATCGAATACTGTTGTCAGTAATACACACATACATATGAAATTGCTGTTTGTCCTCGGTTGTATGTACGTGTATGTCTACGTAAGTATGACGAATTAACATGCAGTAAATAATCTGACAAGAAACAATATAAAATTAGGTAAAAATATTGTGTTAAAAATAATTATACTGTAATATGTAATACAAAATGATGCTTGTATATATAATGATAAAATGCATTGTATAAATTCTCTCCAAAATAATGTTCTATATAGTTTGCTGCATGATTATAAAACTATGACTAATTTGTACTCCAAACTCTTCATTATTTCGAACACTACATCATTGTACTTTCATTTTGGAAAACCATTAATTCGACTTATCTACGTTTACTTTTAAGTTATTCATGTTAGAGTACTCAGTTAAAGTTTTCAGTTTGTTTTACAGATCTATTATACTCTGTACTGTTGTTAAAGGGTCATCCGCAAATAGCAGTAGTTTCATTTGTATGTTCACTTTCAGATGTCCTTAATTGATGAAAAAGTCGTCTATGTCGTATAGTACCTCAGAGAAAAAGATCGAATCGAATGAATCCCCTTGTAATACTCTCCGTGTAACATCTATTTTTACTGTTCTCATTTCATCTGTGATTTTAATCATCCATCTCTTTTTTATATACAGGGTCTTTCACCTAACTATACCACTTTAAATATATCGCTTATTTGGTACTATCGGTTAATATTTAATAATAAGTTACTACTTAATATAAAAATTTTTTTTAGCTAACAATAACTAACAATTTTTCTAACTTTCGATAAAATAGAATTTATTCTAAAGAACTTATCGATCCCGCTGTCCATTCTAACCCTCCCCCTCTCCCGGCCCCTTCATCTAAGCTATTCCTTTAATCTCTAATTAATGACACCGACCTTCCCAGACTGATGTTCACGATAAAAGCTGCCCTTTGAGAAAGAAGCGCCGACCTTTCGATCGACCTTCGTCGAATATTTTTCACTTCGAAAACGACATAGCTAGAGAAAAAGAGAAAGAGAAGTTCTAGTCTATTTTTCTATACGAACGAAAGAACCTCGCGTGTTCTTTCTCGTCTAATCTCAAATCTTTCTCGCACGTCTTTCCACGAATAAACATAAACTAAAAAAGAATAAAAGAAAGTAATCGTCAACTTCTAACTACTTACAATGTTCAAGATTTTACAATGAAAATAACTTGAAAAAGAAAAAAAAAAAGGAAAAATTTCGGAAAACATATTAAATGTATGACTTAAATTTCTTGCCAGTATTTAACGAGACAATGAAAATCAACTAACATAAGACATAATGCGATAAGTTTATTCGAGTTTCAAATAACAAGTACTGCAGAGCTGAATTACAATAGACTCTACTGTATAATGTGAGTAATATTGTAGATAATAATATAATATAACGTATTCTATGAATTCGCTCTATAGGAAATATATATTTGCCTTGAAATAATTTACAGTTAGTTTATGAGAGCAATTGAATTCGATATAAATGTTGATGAAAATTACTCTATTCCGTTAATTTTTATTGATAACATTATGATCAAAAATATAAAAAAATAATTACAAAATAGGAGAAATATCGATCGCGATGAAAGCAACAGAAATAAATACTCAATTAATGAAAATGTAATTTTTAAACTAAGCGAATTTTCCTGCATTTTATTATCTAACATATAGTACGAAAAATCGTATTTTATGAAAATAGTAGTCGCAATATCTTTGAAATGTTACAGGAATTCACGCTATCAGATCTCATGTTATACGAGAGTGTACTGTATTATGTAATCGAGCATATACATATATTATTTAAATGGAAAACCAATAATTGAGAATATAAATACAGCCTAACATCTAAAAATAATGAAATAAATAGGAAAAAACAAGGTGAGAGATAGAAATAAAAAGATCGATACATTTTTAAAAATTCGATTAGAACGTGCATAATAATTCACGAAGTGACCTGCACGTACACACAAAAACGTCAATATATTACGGTGCAATAAGTTGCGCGTAACCCCTTATGACAATCTTATAAGAGCAAAGCTTTTTCCTAACGCTTCTGCTAGCGATTTAAAAGATTACGAATGTCCCGTTTGTAACTTATTCACGAATTATACTCTTTTCCATCTATGATTTTTTCTACTCGAATGATAAAATCAATTTCTTTTATTTTCCCTTACACAAGTATGTCTTTCAAAAAATATTTAAGAATTAAAGTTCCGAAAAAATATTATTAAAAAAGGATATATCATTAAATCGTAAATAAATATTCTTCATAACATATACATATATATTGAATTCGTGATATCTTTACAAAATGTGGATTATCCAAAATTACAAAAAAAAAAAAAACGAAAATATCCGATTTTTTATTAAAATTTGTTGAATGGTACAACCGTGCATGTACAATGATTAATTTGAATATCTTTAATAAATCAAAAGATATAACAATTTAACTAATTCACTTTTAAACAGTATGGATTGTTAAATTAATAGTTTCAAGACTGCTAAGGTTTATTGAGGAATGGAAGGAGTTATATTACGTTGATCCCCTATATTTTCTGTTAATTATGAAGCTTAATAAACCTAAATATTTGTCTTATTCATTAAAGTGTCACTGAATGTAAAAAAAAGGACTTAACATTTCAACTGGTTTCAATAAAAACTGTTTTTAACATTAAAAGTTATATGAATCACCTTATTACACGGACAATATGAAATACAACAACAGTTTTAATTCCATATGAAAGAAACATTTCTTATCTAAAAATATCAATATCTTAAAAGATTCATTCTTTAATCTAACAAATCAATCCAAAGTCCCAACGATAAGACAGTATCAATGAAAGTTTAATTACCCAATTTAATACAACCAACCTTAAATATTCTGTATTTCCTACAATTGTTGCTTAAACGAAAGTCTAGCAATAAAAAACAATCCGAGTATTGTAGTAATCAATTAAGTAAAAAACCGAAAGAAAGAATCACTTACACGTTAGGCACGTAATCAGCTCTCCAGCACGTTTTTCCTCTTTCCTCGGTTAACTTAGTCGCAGAATCCATGATAAGAAGGTTTGAGATATCGCGGAACGTTTGAATTCACGGGATTCCGGAAGTGACGATCACTCGTAACCACCTTTGCTGTTCCACATCTTTTTATATCTTGTTTTTTTTTATTTGTTTGTCTTACCCTCTCTCCCTTTGACTATTTCGTTCGAAAATTGTTTGTTATAACATGGCACGATTATGACTCGTCACTTATAACTTCACATAAAAGTCGGCCATCGTCGCAGGGTTGCTGCGGGCGGACTGGTTGGTCCGGTCGAATGCGGTGGCCGCGGCCGCGGCCGTGTGTTTCCTCCTTGCCTCCTCTTAAGCGTGCGCACCACTTCGATTCTTCATTTTTTTATTTATTTATTTATTTTATTCTTTTCTAAAACCGATCTATATGTGTGTGTTTGTGTGTATGCACGCAACTTTGGACAAATAAACTTTAAGTAAAAAGGAACAAGAAGGAAAGCACGAAAATGGAATTTTTCATAGGAAGGAAATAGAGAGAGGGTAGAAAAAAAGAGGGTAAAGGGTAGGAAGAGAGATGAAGGATCTCAATAAGATAGAGAAAAAGAGAGAGAGAGAGAGAGAGAGAGAGAGAAAGAAAGAGGGGGAAAGAGAAACGCTCGGTTCGGTTACATCGACCCGAATTTTACCACAGATATACGTTTAAAGACTTGGGAAAAAAAACAGCCTTTAGTATTCTTTTTCTTTTTTTCTTTTTTCTTTTTTCCTTCGCAAAAGTGTTAACAGTAAATTGAAGATTGTTACGAGAAAAAGAAACGGGTCAGAGGCAAGCAAGCAAGCAAGCAATTGGTCGGTTTTTTATCTTTACTTCCTTATAAATACTCTTCACGTATCGCGATCGAGTGTTTAATTGCAAACGAAGGAAAAAAGTGAAAAAAAAAAAACAAACTTTGAGAAAAAGGGAAATAATTAAATTTTGTTGTATTTGAAACTGATATAATGATAAAATAATAATAATAATAATAATAATAATAATAATAATAATAATAATAATAATAATAATAATTGAAATGAAGTTCTCGATTCACCGGTTAACTTCACGAATTACATTCGATTTATTAAACACAAAACACGAAACACGATTGACTATACTACGAGGAGGAGGAGGAGGAGGAGGAAGAGGAAGAAGAAGAGGAGAATGTTGAAACGAGACGTAAGATGAATAAGACCGAACCCCACGTCGCGTCGCGTCGGATGCAACCAGAATGAGGGTTTGGTCCTGCGCAGCAGCGCGCTCATGCGGCCATTCGGTAAACTGTCGAGCGCCGTCGTCGATGACACCCTCCGAGGCTCGCGTTATCCCCACCATAGAAAAACCATGTTACCCCACTACTGCAACACCTCGAGGGAGCGAGCGAGCGAGTCAGCCCTTCAACAACGCGCTCGACCTACACGCGCGCCACCGAGCTTTGTCCTTCGAGAAACGCCGTTACAACAGAGTACCCGGATACGGAACGTCGAGGACGACCAACTAGCTTGCGTCAAATTAAGGGTGAACAAACAACGATTTAACGATTAATATTATCTACGATTTACAATTGAACATATTCTTTAAAAAATACCTATTTCATTCTTTCTACATATATCTCCAAAATGATAGAGTTATTTTTTATCTCCCTGGTCAAATTCGTCTAATTGTGTGTTTTTTTTTTCACGTCGATACTGAAATAAGTCTCCCCACTACATAGCACCCCACCTCAGCCCACCCTCTTTCTTTCTTTCTCTCTCTCTCTCTCTCTCGTGCTCGCTTGTTTGCCCCTTTTGATCGTTTACGAGACACACCATTGACCTCCACGTTCGCTCTACTTCCCAACTCTTGAGCTTCCGCAGTATACCACCTACTCGCTTGCGTTCAAGTACAGCAACTAATATAACTTGTGGAAGATGGTCTGCTCGGAACGTGTTCATCTCTTTCTATATTATATTCTTTTACGTCTCATAAGAGGTTATTTATACTTATCCAAGAAAAATGAGAACGAATTGTATTTAATAGATGATATTAATTTTTTTTATTATTAGTGTATTTAAACATTATTCTGATCTTTCATTTTGTTTTTAAGCGCGATCGGTTCCAAATGCAGGGAGTTATGGGACGGGGGTCAAGTAACTGTCAGTCAATTTTGACTACTAAAAAAAGCTATATTCATGACTGGGCGTGCCAAGGCACCCCTGGAAGACTTGTCGGGCCACATGCGGCCCGTGGGCCGCAGATTGAGTATGGCTGTAATATAAGAACGTTCATCGTCGATTAGCGATCATCCAAACCCAAGCGGTTTTGCATTAATCACACGAAATGTGATCTCTTCGATGGCAATTGCGTGTCATTAATATTTAAATCACGAGCATATCATAGCAATCAAGAGAGAGAAACGGAAAACTTATTCGTAGTATTAATTATAAAATCATATGGTTAAAGAGAAAATTGAATGGTTAATACTAATTGAATAATTATACAGTGACTCACGGAAGTATTTTCTGAAGCCACAAATGCACTTAAACATATAACTTATGAACTTTTAATGTACGGTTTCTTTTTGGCATAATCGCTTTCACGTAGCACCCTTCTACATAATTATTTTTTTATTTAATATGTAGAATTTGTATTCTACATTTGTAAAATATTCGCTATAAAATCAATTTCACAAAATGACTAGTAAAAAAATTATAAACAGAATTAAAACAAAAATTAAACAAAGAGTAGCATGAGAGTTGCCTCATTAATTAACTCATCGAAGCGTTTCGAATTATGATAGTCTAATTTTTATTTTGTGTATTGTTCACATTTATTCTTTTATTTTTTCCATACACATATGTTCCTACATACATATCTGCTTAGTTAGCTATCTATGCGCTAAAGACAAAAGGGATGGCTCCTATTGGAGGAAAAGCAGTGGTACTTTTTTGCTTACAGTAATACCGTACGTGCTATGGGCAGGGTAGCATTGGTTAAATGAGAAAAGTGATTGTAGTTGAACGCAATGGGCTTGTCAAGAACCGAGTGGCAACGAACAGTTATATACACCAACTAGTCCGCCATTGAGTACCAACGGAGCGTTCTATTGACTCAGGCCCGTATAAAGCTAGATCCAAACTGTGACGTTGCCTTTCTTCCCTATTTCTCTTCTTTTCTTTTACTCTCTCCCTAGATGTCTCTTTCTTTGCCACAACCTTTATCTTTCTCTTTCTCTTTGAGGAATCTCTAACATTTCGTCTGTTACCTTTTTACTCTGCCAAGACATTTATCAAAGAATTAATTCTTCGGCTGTTGTGTATGAATGTGTGCACTAGAAGTCCGATACATTCACATACCCGCATGCCCCTATATATATAGATACTTACACACGTCTCTTTAAATTTAAAGAATCTTTCAACTTCCCCAATTGAATTCCGAAAAATTGATCTACAAATATGTTTATTCATTTTTCTCAAATATTTGTACATATTTGCACTGGAAATAAAAGCCGTAATAGATGGCGCTACTCTAAATAGGTTAAGAGATCTGCCGACTGATTTATATTTTATAAATCCCGTATAGACGCGAGTATCCGCAGATATTCTTCCACAAAAAATATTATAAATGATTTTATTTTCCATATCTTCGAAACGATTTATATCGAATAAAAGGATGCAGGTAATAAATACATTATCATTATTTTATACGTTTACGTAGAAGATAAGTTTACCAATCGTACCATTTTCGGAAAGAACTTCGGTTTCTTTACTATGGATAAGGAAATATGTTTCTACTTTTTATGTTAAGAAAATGTTCAACGTGATACTGAATTAGTGAAATTTTATTTTTAAGAATCCCGACCGGACGCACTTTATTCCTGTAGTCTATTCGGTATGCCGGATGCAACTCTACATAGAGAAGTCCGTTCTAAGTAAAAAGAGGTCGAACTTAAATTATAAATTACAATACGAAACGATGAAAAAAACATTTTTAGAAAAAATAAAATAAAAAGAAATAAGGAAGAAGAAATAGATCTAAAAACATTTCTTCTCCTCCATATATATTCTAAACAAAATAATTTGTTTTTTTTTCTTAGGATTTTTTCGCAGATACGCGCCTAAATTAGTTGTTTTTTTGTTGTTGTTTCATATTTTTTATACAGAAAATAATATAATACTAATAAGGGTGGAAACTATATAAATTTTTTCAGCTCTCGAATAAATTATATCCATGAATAATAAATATAATTGTAAGATGCATATAAATGATTGTGGCATATATTTTTTTGAGGTTATATTTTTCGAATCATTTACCAAGTAGTTTTCCTTTAAATTCTTCCTAACGTCGAAAACAATTCTCTTTCGATGTTTGTTCTTTTCAACAACCGATCGCACGTAAAAATATATCCTTCTTCTTAACGTTGTCGATTGTTTACTCATGCTCAATATGTATCCCAAAATATATTGAGTACAATGAACCCCTTTTGTCAAAGTTATCATAATACTGGAAAATTCACGAGCTATCAAGGGATGATGTTATCGCGTTCTCTTAAGTTATTTTATTATTAATCACGGCGTTAATTTTAATTGACCGACGTCCTACCTTATACCGTCCGTCCGTAAGTTCCTTGCTGGCTTATCCATGCTAGAATATCATCGCGAACCTTGGCGTATCCGTTTATATTTCCCTTGCGGTGTTTGTGGAAGCTAGGGAACCCGAGAGATGGGTCGTATGTGCGAAAGACAGCACCACGGCAAGGGGCGAAACCTACCCTTCCTATCCTTCGGGAGGGTAGATTACCGTGAAACAAATTAAGCAGAATGTTAGGAAGCAGAGATTAAGATATACTAGGTTCATGTTCTTCTAGTTGTATTTTAGGGCTTTACTTTGTTCTTTTTCATTTCCTAATTCCCTTTATATCAGGTCACGGTCATAAAAAGTCCCGACGGAAATTATAAATTCTGTCGAAAGACATACTGAATTTAATTAATGAAAAAAAGACAAATGTGACTTTTCTAATTTCGATTTTACGATTCGAAATAGATGTATATGACTGGTCGAAAGCGGATAATATCAAGCATATCCATAATGACTTTCCTTTATTCTATTTCTTTCTTTTCTTTTCTTCCGTAAGACTTTTGTAACTGTCTTTATATTTCTTACAGACATACACACAGACAGATACGAACACATACATGAGTTACAATACTCAAACATTATCTTTACGTTCCGCATTAATCTCCAACCTGCACCTTTTGTTCACGTAGCACCTCTATGTCGTTTCTCTCATCTTCTTTCTCCACGACCTTTCCTTTTCGTTGTCCGGTCTACAAGTTGAATATGAGTTCTCTGTTAGATAGAAGAGAAGAACAAATAGAATAATTCCCGACTTGAAATGAACGAGCGAATAAAGTTTAAATTCCGTGCCATTTTCTAAGATGACGTTGATGAAAGCATGAATAATAATAGGATCTTTTATCATAAAAGGATTCTAATTGTTTTAAGTGCACATTGTACATATGGTTTATTGCGATATAATTCATGAAAAATTTCATAAATTTGTTCACACACACACATACACATACATTTATACATTCATACATTTAAACAGACAAACTACGAGAACACTAACTAGGAACAGTGGAATAGAATCTTGCCAATATCGATAACCCTAAAACAAAAATTAATTTTATGTTACTACATATAACTTATACGTAATTTTTATTAATGTATTTTTATATCCTAAATAATTGCATTACAAACCTTAGGATATCATTGCAGACATTGTTGTAAATATCCATTGTAAAATAGTATTTTGCAATATTAAACCTTACAGCTTGAAAACAACAGTACTTTCTATAACAAAAAACTAGATAAAAAGGGCATGTGTGGAAAAATAAAATTCGATGAACGATCCACGATAGAAACTTTTCAATTAGATTATTTAATAAATAATGAAATTGAAAAAAT